AATACACATGTGCGCATGCATATATCTGAAAAAGTTTATTTATATTCAGATATAAAATATATCTGTTATATATATATATATATATATATATATATATATATATATATGAATTTAAACATCTGAACACATCGATGCGGTGGCTCAGTGGGTAGCACAATCGCTTCATAGTAAGAAGGTCACTGATTCGAGTCTCGGCTGGGTCAGTTGGTGTTTCTGTGTGGAGTTTGCATGTTCTCCCTGTGTTGGCGTGGGTTTCCTCCTCCTGATCAACTACACTGGCCGTAGTGTATGACTGTGTGCGTGAATGAGTGTGTATGGATGTTTCCCAGTACTGGGTTGCACCTGGAAGGGCATCCACTGCGTAAAACATATGCTGGAATAGTTGGTGGTTCATTCCACTGTGTCGACCACTGATAAATAAAGGGAATAAGCTGAAAAGAGAATGATGATGAATAAATTTAAATATCTGTGTGATACAAAATATTTTTGTGTAGTTTTGATTTTATCACTTATAACACACACACACACACACACACACAATTCATATCCAATAAATCCGGAAAAAGATTTGCACTAATTAAGGTTTTTATTTACTCTGAACACACACACACACACACACACACACACACACACACACACACACACACACATATATATATATACACACACACACACACACACACACAACAGAGCAACACACAGATTATTGTGTGGTCATTACACCTGTTAAACTCATGTGTTTTCGCAGTTTTGCTCCATATTTTATGCAGTATTGTGATAATAGCATGATTAAACACGACAGCATGAGGAACACTTCTGCCTCCTCCACTTTAACATATACACACACATAAACTACACACTTACACACTCCATCCCGGATGAGGTTGTTGTGCACGAGTGTGTATGTATTCAGTCACTGAGACTCACACAGGCATCTGAACACTGAGAAACGCTCGACCGCTGATACTCATTTCCCAGATCATAAAAACAGACAGCAGCAGACACACACACACACACACACACACACACACACTAATTTATGGTTATGGAAAATATTGATGACATCATCCTGCACTCACACACCCGCTGTGCGTTTAATGCAGTAATTAGCGTTAAATCATTGTATGAAGCGTCTGACACACTGAACACTGCTGTGAGAAACGCTTCAGTCACTGTTAGTCAGATCATTTATTGATCCCTGAGGAAATTCAGTCGTCCAACAGCATCCCATAATTAAAATACATAAAGACGTAAACACACACACACACACACACACTCTCTGAGTAGGAAGAACAACAATAAATACCATAAAATAAAATAAATAAAATAATAAATTAATTAATAAAAATAAAACAAAATTACAAATTAAATTCTTTATTTTCCTTCAGCTTAGTCCCTTGTTTATCAGTGGTTGCCACAGTGGAATGAACCGACAACTATTCCAACATATGTTTTTACACAGTATCCATACACACTCACATTCACACACACACTCATACACTACGGCCAGTTTAGTTGATCAGTTCCCCTATAGCGCATGTGTTTGGACTGTGGGGGAAACCGGAGCACCCGGAGGAAACCCACACCAACACAGGGAGAAAATGCAAACTCCACACAGAAACACCAACTGACCCAGCCGAGACTCAAACCAGCGACCTTCTTGCTGTGAGGTGATCTTGTTACCCACTGCGCCACCGTGAAGCTCATAAATAAATAATAATAATAAATTCAGTTCATGTGTATTTCTCCAGCGCTTTTACAGTGTGGATTGTGTCAGAGCAGCTGAACACTGATGAAGATCTGCTCAACTTGAACTGCTTCAGTTTAATAACACTTATGATGATGAGACTGATGATTATCTAAGAAGTCTAAACTTAAAAACACAGAATAAGATTGAGATTTAAAATGACATATTCTCTGTGTGTGTGTGTGTGTGTGTGTGTGTGTGTGTGTGTGTGTGTGTGTGTGTGTGTGTGTGTGTGTGTGTGTGCGCGTGTGCATGTGTGTGTGCAGGTGTCCAGCATGTCTACAGTGAGCGCTGAATACTCGAGCTGTGGAGAAAATGAGTTTTACAATCACACAACCAGCAGCTGCCAACCCTGCCCACAGTGCCAAGCTGGACAAGAGCCGTACATGGTGAGAAATACACACACACACACACACATTCAGGGACACACTCATACACTCATGCATAAACACACACACAAAACTACACTACCTTACAGAAGTCTTGTCGCCTATCCAAGTTTTAGGAGTTGCAAATTCTAAGTGTTCTTCTAGTTGTCAGAAGTGTCTCTATGAAAGGTGAAGGCCTCTAGATTTTGCTGATTTGAGCTCAATAAATCTGATCATGTCTTGATGTTGACTGATTTGATGAGGACAGTGCGCTCTGACTCTGCTCAGACTAAAGTCTCATCACTGAACAGAAATAATGTCCAGTATAGAATATAAAGTCCTGCTGCAGTGGAGACAGAATGAATATTGTGTCTGACTCCATCATGAGCTTGGAGGACTGCATCCACACATCTCTGACATGACTCACATCACTGATTAATAAAGTCATCTGGAATGAAGAAGAAAGCTTCAGCAGGATCCCAGAGTTCATCAAGAGTCTCTGTGTTCATCTTCAACACCTCCTCCTTCATCAGCTCAATAATGTTGATGTCTGGTGACTGGGCTGGCCAATCCTGGAGCAGCTTGACCTTCAGGAGCTTTGATGTGGAGGCTGAAGTATGAGCAGGAGCGCTATCCTGCTGGAGAATTGTCCCTCTCCTGTGGTTTGTAATGTAATGGGCAGCACAGATGTCTTGATACCTCAGGCTGTTGATGTTGATCATCCACTCTGCAGATCTCTCGCACGCCCCCATACTGAATGAACCCCAAACCATGATGTGTCCTTCACCAAACTTGACTGATTTCTGTCAGAATCTTGGTGCATGCTGGTTCCAGTAGGTGTTCTGCAGTATTGGTGATGATTGTGAGATGCAGATCAGCAGATGATCCAGCAGAGAAATCCACCTTCTGACACTTTCACACATCATCAACTAGAAGACCAGTTACTATCTGCTGCTCTTACAGCTGCTCTTACAGCTTCTGTCTGATAGTGTACACTGATGAAAACACAAACACAAACACCAGGGTTTCTGCAGGGTCTTAAAAGGTCTGAAATCTCAAAATCCAAAGTTTAGCCCTTAAAAAAGTCTTAATTGTACTGAAATATTATGTTTTAGGTCTTAAATCTTTTTAAAACAGGTTTGAATTTTCCTTTGTTCGTGTATTGCTACCAAATGTGGCCAAAACCCATACAGTCACCAACAATCATCTCAATAAAGCAGTGAAGTCTTAATTTAATAAGGTCATTTTAACTCTGTTTGTCATAATGGTTTCATTATTTTCCTTACAGTAACATTTGTCTAAACGTTCTCCATGTGTTTACTGCTGAGGACACCGACCTGGACAGATTGTTGTGCATAGATTTAGTTTATTATAGTTTTTAAAACTTAAAACATTTGTTTATTTTAATTATTTTAATTTTGGAAATTGGTATAACACAATATTTAGCTAGAAAATAAAATCTAAAATGTATATGTTTTATTATTAATGTATTATTAAATGTATTAAATTATATATATATTATAGGGCAGTGGTTCTCAAACTTTTTTCACTAAGTACCACCTCAAAAAAATAGTCTCTCCAAGTACCACCCTAATGGGCAGTATTGAAGTACAGCAGCGTTGTAGGCTTAATTATGCAGCTACAGCTCTGCACAGTTCAAAAACCAGGCAGATTAATTATTCTTATTAGGAATATTTATTATTGTCAGCCACTTTAAACATTAATAATAGTTTAAACATTAACACTATAGGCCTACTGTGCTTAAATAAACACAACGTCAACGTTTAAATTAAAATATGCTTTTAAAGGTTAATTAAAAACGGCACTGTTCTTAAAAAGTAAAAAGAAAACTGCTGTACTTTAATGTAAATTAGTATTTTCATATAGCAGCCTATTCATCAAAACCTGGAAATGTTCCTTAAACCGCGTAAATATATGCTATGTCATCGTATTCATGTATATCTTTTTGATACATTTTTAAATATACAAATAATTCATATATACATGCAACATGTATCTTTAAAATCGAAACTTTAACTTGTATTTTAAATATATGAGTTAGATTACTGCGCATTAGAGGAGGCTATGTGTGTCAGAAAAGCAAGTGATTAAAACCATAGCTGTCAACATTAGGATATAAAAATACAAGATACGCCCCAAACAACCGATACAGATATGGAGAGGAAATTAGCTTCAAATTATAAATACATAACAAACATAAGAAAACTGAAAATAAAAGGTTTAGCCTAATAAAATCAATTTTTTGGGTGTTTTTATACTCATCAAAGCGGTAAAAGTGCATTCATTTTATTTACTTTAATTATTCAGCGATGGCTGCATGTACCACTTGAAGGAAGCCTGCATATAGTGGTACACGTACCACCGTTGGAGAACCACTGTTATAGGGTAAATAAAAACCCTTTCCATCTGGGCCATCTGAAAAATTCCTTACCCTTTAGCCCTTAATGGATCTAAAATTTAATTTCAGCGCCAAGACTGCAGCTCTGCACAATGGTGGTGCCCAACTGAGCCTGGTTTCTCTCCAGGTTATTTAATGATTCACTTTGGTCAATTGGTGAAGTTTGTTCCTCCACTGTCTCCACTGGCTTGCATGGTTCAGGATCTGTAGAGCTGTGCATGGATGGATTTGCTCTTCAGTGTTTGGACTCTCAGTAGTGATTATTAAACCACACTGAACTGGACTTAAACTCTGAATACCGGACTGACACTGTTTACATTCACTATGATCTTCTATGTGAAGCTGCTTTGGCACAGTCTACAGTGTAAAAGCGCTATAAAAATGAAGCTGAACTGAATTCATATAGGTCATAAAAATGTATTAAAAACCCTTTAATTTAACTCCGTGAGACCTGCAGAAACCCTGAAATACATACACTTATGCAATATTATTACACATACACAAACGCACACACACACACATATATACACATATGCATACACAAACAAATGCATGCCTCGCATGCACACATACATATACACTCATCCACACGCAAACTCACACACACCTATTTCACTACACTCAGACACACACACACACACACATGAACACACAAACACAAGCACATACCGTCACAAATATGTCTTTGAGAATGAATAAATCCTGACAGAATTACAACCAACCAAAACATCATCATCAGACATCAACATTGATATTGAAATCACTCAGAGCACTTAAGATCCAACATGAAAGAGCAGATAGGTGAATTCCAGCACACATATGCAGAGAACATTGTATAATTATCTTCTAGACGAGTGCATTTGTGCATAATTACAGCTGTGGGATTGTTTGTAGTGTGTGAGTGTGTGTGTGTGTGTGTGTGTGTGTGTGTGTGTGTGTGTGTGTGTGTGTGTGTCTGTGTAAAAACACCTTCAGTCTGTAATTCACAACACTGTGATCTCCAACACACACTTCTGATGAAAACATGAAAAGTTCTTGAAGCTCTGCTGTAAATCATCAAGAAGGAGCCAAAACACTTCAAAGCTGTGTGTGTGTGTGTGTGTGTGTGTGTGTGTGTGTGTGTGTGTGTGTGTGTGTGTGTGTGTGATCAGAGGATGGAGGAGTAATGAAGCGGACTGAAGGGGGCGATAGAGAGTCCAGGGCTCTGACTTACAAAATAAGTGTAGAAACCTTCCTAAAAGTCAACATAAACCAGAATGAAGGTGAATTTACTCCTGAATGATGATGATTTGGCTCTGAATGATCATGGCAGATCTGAAGATTTAATGTGGTTCAGTTCAGTCAAATCTTATTGATGCAAAATGAAGCTGTGTGTACAGAAGTGTGTGTAGTGTAGTGTGTCCACAGTCATAGTGGCGTAATGGAAACACAACAAGTCCTCTATGCCACTATGCTGACACATATGCATTTGTAGCTCCGCCCTCTTCTGAATATATCTCATTTGCATTTAAAGTGACAGTCACCAAAATGCCACAATTAGGATCAAAGCCTGAAAGGGTCAGTTTCAGAGAGTCAGGCCCTGTTTACACTAATACATTTAGTTTTAAAACGCATAACATGCCTTGCATGTCCATCCCTTTATGAGCACAGTGTCTCCATCTTCTGATGGCTACTTCCAGCAGGATAACGCAGCATGTCATAAAGCTCAATCATCTCAGACTGGTTTCTTGAACATGACGATGAGTTCACTGTACTCAAATGGCCTCCACAGTCACCAGAGCTCAATCCAATAGAGCAGCTTTGGGATGTTGTGGAACGGGAGATTGGCATCATGGATGTGCAGCCGACAAATCTGCAGCAACTGTGTGATGCTATCATGACAATATGGAGCAAAATCTCTGAGGAATATTTCCAGCAGCTTGCTGAATCTCTGACACCAAGGATTAAGACAGATCTGAAGGTGAAAGGGGGCCGACCCGGTATTAGTGAGGTGTACCTAATAAAGTGGCCGGTGAGTGTATATGTGAGTGTATGGGCATGAGTGTGCGTGTCTGTTTCTGTAAAGTGTCTGTAAACATCAGTGTGTGTGTGCGTGTGTGTGTGTGTGTGTGTTTGTGTGTGTGTGTGTGTGTGTGTGTTTTCAGTAAGTGTCAGAATCAGTCTTCAGTAAGCTCTAAAGCAGAGCAGATGTACAGCAGCAGCATCATCCTCATCATCATCATGCTCTTTTATCTCCTCTTTCCTCTTCAAAACCATCCTGGAGGCCAGAAGATCAAAGAGCTTCACCTCTGCCCACCAAAGACGCATCATTAAGACCCTAATTAAGAGCTCAGCGCTGACGAGAGCGTTCACAAATGACAAGAAGATAATGCTGAGGGCCCGAGGAGACGCAGTGACGACTTCTTTCATCACAAATCAATGCGAGTTCAAGCAGATATTACAGAAAGAGCTGGATGTTTTGGCCGCCGCGTCCTCATGAGTTCAGAGTTTCCATCACTGCTGCATTATTATTATTATTATTATTCAGAGTAAATATGGAGATGATGGTGAGCTGCGGATGTGGAGCAGAGACTCGCGGTGGGTCGGTGCACATGCTTTTGATTACGGCGATATGTTTGGCAGGTCGAGTGTTTAGCGGTGAACTCATACCGCACTGAACCAGAACCAGGCTGAAGATGCTTATTATTGGCGGATTAAAACCAACTGCGCTCACTGTGATTGTTTTCTGAAGGTCACGTCAGTTAAAGCATCACAGATCCAGCTTCAGTTCTCTGCTCAACACAGACTGATTCAAAGCAGAGGCAGACACCGGAGAATAACCGAGTCAGACTTCAGCAGATACCGGATCATTCAGATTCTGCCTAAACACACTGTCCTGATCATTATTCTGAACATCGCTGATCATGCTCAGATCTGTCATTGATATTTACTTTAGAGTCGATTCGGTTCAATTCAATATTGATTCAATTGAACCTGGTAAGTTCAATGTTAATTCAGTTTAGCTCAATTATGTTCAATGTTAAAATGATTAGTTCAGTTCAGTTAGAACGTGAAGATTTGATTAGATGGTGATTCGTTGTTCATTCATCACTGACTCAATTATATTATTGTTGATTCAGTCTAGTTCAATTGTGATTTGATTCAGTGTTCATTCAGTTTAGATTTTTTATCAAATTAAAGTTTAATGTTGATATGATTAGTTCAGTTCAGTTAAATGAAGATTTGATTCAATGTTGATTCAGTTTAGCTCAATTAAGTTCAATGTTGATTCAGTTTACCTTCATTAAGTTCAATGTTGATTTAGTTCATCTCAATAAAGTTCAATGTTGATTCAGTTCATTTCAATTAAGTTCAATGTTGATTCAGTTCATCTCAATTAAGTTCAATGTTGATTCAGTTCATCTCAATTAAGTTTAATGTTGATTCGGTTTACCTCAATTAAGTTCAATGTTGATTCGGTTTACCTCAATTAAGTTCAATGTTTATATGATTAGTTCAGTTCAGTTAAATGAAGATTTGATTCAGTGTTGATTCAGTGTTCATTCATCACTTAGTCAATTATATTGTTGATTCAGTCTTGTTCAATTATGATTTGATTCAGTGTTCATTCAGTTTAGCTGAATTAAGTTCAATGCTTATATGATTAGTTTAGTTCAGTTAAATCCAGTGTTGATTCAGTGTTCATTCCTCACTGAGTCAATTATATTTATTCTTTATTCAGTCTAGTTCAATGACGATTTTATTCAGCGTTGATTCAGTTTGTTTCAATTAAGTTCAATTTTTGTATGATTAGTTCAATTTAGTTAAATGAAGATTTGATTCAGTGTTGATTCAGTTTAGCTCAATTAAGTTCAATGTTGATTCAGTTTACCTCAGTTAACTTCAATGTTTATATGATTAGTTTAGTTCAGTTAAATGAAGATTTGATTCAGTGTTGATTCAGTGTTCATTCATCACTGAGTCAATTATATTGTTGATTGAGTCTAGTTCAATGATGATGTGACTCAATGTTCATTCAGTTTATTTCAATTAAGTTTAATTGAACTAAACTGATTCAGTTTAGTTCATCAGTTTTCATTCATCGCTGAGTCAATTATTTTATTGTTGATTTAGTCCAGTTTAATAATGATTTGATTCAGTTTAGCTCAATTTTTATCAAATGGAAAAATGACTGAATTCAGATTTCATTAGTATGAGATTAGTTAGGTTCTGCCCTTAAAAACATGTTTTTCAACTTATTGATTCAGGTCATTGATTCAGTTCAGATCTGTGTTCGCTATTTAATGCATAGTTGATTTGGTTCAGTTCAATGTTGATTCAGTTTAGCTCAATTAAGATCAATGTGGATTTGATAAGTTCAGATCAGTTCTATGAAGATTTATTTTAGTGTTGATTCAGTTTAATCCAGTGTTGATTCAGTGTTCATTCATCACTGAGTCCAATCTAGTTCAGTGGTGATTTAGTGATTCAGCGTTCATTCAGTTTAGATCAACTTTTATCAAATTGAAAAAGAGTTCAGACTTCATCAGATATGAGATTATTCAGAAACTGCTCTTAAAAACACAGCTTTTCAAATCATTGATTCACATCAGATCTGTGTTCATGTGTGTGTGTGTGTGTGTGTGTGTTATATACATTACACAATAGTAAGTTAAGCACTTTGAGTTAGTGTGGTGCATGATGAGATGTGCTGTATAAATGACCATGCCTCGTCTCAGTGAATGTGAGTTGTGATGGTAAACTCTGAAGTGATGTTTGTGTTTTGCAGAACTGTGGTTACGGCACTAAAGACGATGATTACTCCTGCGTTTCCTGTCCGGCTGGTAAATTCTCCAAAGGAAAGTACGAGATCTGCCGTCGACACAAAGACTGTGACGCTCTTTACCGCGCCACTGTCCTGACGCCCGGCACCTCTGACAGCGACGCTGAGTGCGGACACTGTTTACCAGGGTAAGAGGAGCAGATTGATGCCTTTTATTGAGCTTAATCTTGACGAACGAGTGAGCGCAGTCATTGGAATGATTTAGGCTCCAGACGTCTGCTCTCATTCACTTCTATTGATGTCTAGATGTTAACAGCAGCTGGTTCTGCTGCTTGATCAGGCAAGCTGATCTTTATTTATTATAATATTCTACTTTTTATGTGTCGTCATGAACACACTTGTTTGTAGAGTGACGAGTTTGATCGTTTTCTGCTCTTTACTATTATTCCTAGTCATTTCTCCAACAGGAAACTGAATGGCAAGCTCTAAAACAACCACAAAAACCAGCCATCTACAGATCTGCTGAATGCTGGCTTCTGATTGGCTGAGGAGCATTTTTAGGGCATTTGGTTATCATCAGATAAATGCACAGATAAAGTAGTTCCGGCAGGTTTTGAGCGCATTAAACTTTACATCAGGGCTGCACAATATATGGTTTCAGCATGGATATCTCAATGTGTGTTAATTTGGGGTCGCCACAGCAG